GCGATGGCTATGAAATGAAGATCGCTGTCATTTTATATGTAAAATTATATGGGAAATGTCATCGATCGTCATTTCATAGCCATGCTGACGCCGTTTTTATTCGATCATACGGTATTAGTATTACCCCATTAACATTTATAATTTTCGTAAATTATGACATACATTGACTACTTGATTCCAAATATCTTGAGAACCATTAATCGTAGCGATTTGATGTAGCGTAGAAAATGATGAAAAGTAAAGTAAAGATTTCAGTTAACGTCTCCTTTTTGCTGCCAGGGCTAATCTAGACGTGGCCTACTTTGTCTACCCGGAATCCGAACCGCGGTCCTCGGCCATATCATGGTCAATGGCCTACCGACTTGGCAAGTGTCTAAATCGACTCTTACTCACGAGATATCCGATCTCATTCGGCCTCGAACCGGCGCCGCGGCGTGAATGAGCAGTGTGTGTCAATAGATAACTATGGATAACAGGGAAAATGATGAAAATGTATATTCTTTCACTCGGTAGTGTAATACAGGTACGGATGAAAAGTTATTACTCTTCAAAACAGCTAAATAATAAGTAGGTGGCGCCCCCTACAAGTAGGAGTCATACTGACATCAAAATGGGATTTATCATGTCAAAAAACATCCAGACACCAATTTTAATCCAAATATCGGCATTAGCTCAGAAATTATTTTGAAAAAATCGTAATAAAAATGAAATTTCTACATCCTGTATCTCCGAAATGAAGCATTTTAGGACATAAACTTATACGAACTTTTTTACCTATTTTTATGTGCAGAATGTGCTGCCGAAGTTTCCGGAATACAGCTCGGACCAGCACTCTGTAGAATAAAAATTCAACGGAAAATGGAGGGAAAGTGGCATATTTTCAAATTAAGAAAGATATTGAAAAATATAGGAAATTATTGAATCGAAATATGTGTTTAAACAAAAATATAGAGAAGAAATAACGACAACTCTCCAATCGATTAGTCTCAATCATTCCAGATTATTCAGTAAATCAGTCATTATTTCTACTACAAAATTGACAAAAAAACATTCACTTCACTTTACTCGGTAAGCAAGTCTAATATAATTAAGAACAATAATAATATGGCAATTTTCAAGATAAAATATATTCATAGGTATTTATGAAAAAAAGAAAAAAATAGTATTTTGCCACTGAAACAAATCTAAAAAATATTTTTTTTGTACAACTTACACAAACAAATTTGCTATATGAAGAATATCGAAAACTGTCTTAAATAGTACATCCCTACAAAGACATGTTAAATTGTTTATCAACAATATACTTCGACAAATATAATAATGTCGTTATATTAACAAGCATTTTAATGAGCACCTTCAAAATGAATGAAAATAAAACAAACAAAAAAAAATATACTGATAAAATTTTCGTGGCCTTCATGCAATTCTTAACTGCAAGGTATTATTACATACTTTTCATATCTCTCTGAATATGTGAGGATATTCAGGCTTCAGAGAAAATATAGAGGAACCTTAACATAACAAATATTAAGCATTGAAAAAAGAGAACTTTCTGTATGATTTTTTTAAGAGACTACAGTGATGTGAGTAACAATGTGGTGTCCAGTGAGGCGAGGGAAAATTAAAAGAACTTGAGCTCTATTATATTTTACAAAAAGTTTTTTTTCCGACACACGACAACAGAAAAAAAGCAGATGACATCCATACCAATCAATTTATTTTACTAAAAAAAAAAGTTTCTAATATTTTGAAGTTAACTATGGATGCAGTTATTTTATATACAGGGTCGCTGATATGTATGGAAACGGTCGAATATTGGGCAAGTATACGAGGTCCCGCAAAAAGTTAAATACATAAGTTATAGGGTTTTTAAATGCCTAACATCTTGTAATAAATTTAATTATACAAGGTGCTACAAATTCGAGGTACGAGCATTGGTATCTCGGAAACCGTAATAGATACGAAGATGGTTAAATTGGGGCAAAGTTGCACTTTGGGCTGTTCACCAAGATGCCATCAAAAAAGTTTTAAAAATTTCATGGATTGCTGAGTTTTTTGGATTAAACGGATTTTTTTGGAAACTAATTTTATTTTTTCCTGTCGATACTTTTTAGAAAATCAAAAAACTAATTGCACATTCTCATAGCCACTTTAGTAGGGCTATCTGATAGTATTTTTAGATTTTCAAATTAGCTGATAATTTGTGAGATACAGAGGCCAACATAATTTTTTTAAATACGGACCTGCATTTTTTATTTCAGATTTTGAAAGAACTCAGTCTCCTGAGTACAAAGATATTCCACACTTTATACTTTTTTTGTTTTGGGTACCTTAACAGCAACAAAACTATTTAATTATTATTTTAAAAAATCCGACTTAAGTCCAACTCTGTTTTTAAATTATTTAAACTGATTATATTCATCGCAACAATATTGATCAGTGCTAATTAACATTGAATAAGGAAAATTGGGCCAATTGAAAGATTCAAATAAATAATATCCAGATCAGCAATTTAAAGATATTATTTTTCAGTCTTCTTATTGTGAATATGAAATTCTCAGTGTCCGATCTAATAATTTGCATAATATTAATCGTAGTTATTATGAGTAAATTAACTTCTACAAACTATTATTTTCTAATGTTTTACATAGTCTACATGTTCGAAAGGGTTACCACCCTCCCTATTGCACAAATTTATTTTTCGTTCAATTTTATTTATAGCTTTTGAATAGATCTTCTTATACTTTCGAATGCATTTTGTACTCTTTATTATAACTGCCGAGATGTGTTGATTTCACTTTTTTTTGTAAAATTTGGACCTGTCGAATTACTTGATGTCATCAAACGGTCCAGGTACCTGGCCATTATACTGCTCTACCATTTCCAATCCATCTTCAGAGGAAATTATTTGATTGTTTATATTACATTTTATTTTATTATTTTATTGCATTTGATTTTCCGTATTCAACCCACGTCACTGTTAAGTTTGAAAGCTTATTAATATTGTAGCGACGAATATATTAAATATTAAAAAAAATAGAGCCGGACTTGAAATTAGTTTAAATAAATTGTGTCCAAATTTCCAAAACAAAAAAAAACATTAAGTGTGGCATATCATTGTACTCAGGAGAGCGAGTTCTTTCAAAATTTGAAATAAAAAATTCAGGTCCGTATTTAAAAAAATTAAGTTGGCCTCTGTCCAACAATCTCACAAATTATCAGCTAATTTGAAAATCCAAAAAATACTATTAGATAGCCCTAATAAAGTGGCTATGACAATGTGCAATTAGTTTTTTGATTTTCTTAAAAGTAACGACAGGAAAAAATAAAATTGATTTTCAAAAAAATCCGTTTTTTCCAAAAAACTCAGGAATCTTGGAAATTTTTAAAACATTTTTGATGACATCTTGGTGAACATCACAAAGCGCAACTTTGCCCCAATTTAACCATGTTCGTATCTATTACGGTTACCGAGATACCAATGCTCGTACCTCGAATTTGTAGCACCCTGTATAGGGTCGGTAATAATAGCAATGGCACCTCAAAGATTCATTGTCTTAAATGGAACCACCTGTATATTATTAGTTATTTTAATTCTTCCTTCAATTTTAAGCAAAAATTGTAATACACATAATGTACAGCTGGTTCCAATAAAATTGAATACGATTTAAAACATATTTTTATTATTTCGGGCAGTATATTCTATGATACCAGTCCCCCATTTCTCTACTCATGTCATGCTGACGTTCTGAAAAATTTATTTGCCACTTTGTCAAAAGCAAATTTGTTTTATACAATGTCACAATAACCTTAACATGTCAAAATACTTGACACATAAATATACATTGCCCAAATATTCGAAAAAAATGTGTAAAGAGTCGTATTCATTTTTTTTGGAACCAGCTGTACTAAATCCAGCGATTTCCGAGATGTCGAGTTTTCGTTTTAAAATGTTTTTTTTTGTATAAACGAAAATTTTGTCATTTTCAGACTTGATATAATCTCATTTTATACATCTATAAATGCTAACTTGAAAACTAATGTCAAATATTATTAAGTATCACAGTTTCCGCAGAATAGCATCGTTAAATAAAATCGAACACATCGAAATTAATTAAATCGAATTGCTTACGTGATATTTTCAAAAGTCAGTAACTTGGAAACGGTTGATTTGAGGTATACATTGTGTGATTTCTATTTTTGCTTAGAATTGAAGGAAGAATTGAAATATGCAATAATATACAGGAGGTTCCATTAAAAAAATGAAACTTTGATGTGCCACAACTTTATGACCGACCCTGTATACATAAATTTATTACCCACCAATAGACATTTAAAAACCCTATAACTTTAATATGTATTTATTTTTTTGCGGTACCTCGTATATTTTACCCAATAATCGACCGTTTCCAGAACGATAGGTAAATTATAGATTTTAGTACTGCAGAGAGATAATAAGGTACTGGTTTTAAATTAAGACTAAAAGTCAATTAATGAACTTTTAAGGTATAAAATGCAGTTGTGTTTTATTTATTCCTGTGCAATATTAAAAAAATATATTTGTAGGTAACATACGTTATATTAATGATAAATATAATAATAATTACAGGGAGTTTCTTTAAGTTTGAAAGTAAGAAATAGTTATTTTTTATATTTTTTGGTATGTGGTGTTTTGTTTAAAATACACTCTTGTTTGTTTTGTATTAACACCCCCCCCCATACCGTAATTTAAAAAAAAAATTACCCCATTAGATTATTATATATTTTAAAGCAATCAGTTGTCACTCAAATTTTAAATATATTAATTTCATGCTACGCGTTCCAATTATACCAACTTATTTCTTTGTAAAATAAAATAAACTACTTTGAAATTAAAATGACAGACCCATCTATCACTGTTAAGGATATTGTCGTTGGACTGATTATAGTTAAAAGCTCGGTTTAAAGACTTAGTTAATTCTACATCTGTCGAACGGTAACTCAAGAAAAATACAACTTACGCTTGTACTCATAGGACTGTATATCACCCGGTATCCCTGTGGGTATTGAGGTACTGGTCGCTGGTACTGTAATCACTGGTGACTGCCTGCGTCTGCCAACGTACGATGTTGTACCGTGAGGTGAAGGATTATTCGAAAACTGCGACGATACTGACGAATCGCAGTCAAAATTAGTCATATCGGCCTTCGGAATAGGAGGACTAGGTGACTTTGGGATGGTACTCTGGTCTAAGTTTCCCTTCCTCAACATCTCCTCATCTAAAACCTGAGCCCTCCTCATCGCCGTTTGCCTTGCCATCACTTTTTGTTTTTCCAAAGTCAAGATACACTTGTGACACTTGCAGCTGCGATACATGCAGTACCTCTTGTGGCCCTTGAGGAGCACCTTCTTGAAGTGGTTTTGACAGCGGGCGCATTTGGGACGGCTGCGCGGTGCCGAAGATGAGGAGGACGGTGACGGAACAGTACTCCCGGAAGTACTGCCACCCCCGGAGAGGTTTATCTTCGAATCCAAGGTCGAAAGTCGTGGAGGAGAATCGGCAGACATTAGAGTTAACCGGTGCACACGTTGTAATTATTGGCGCGAGAACTAAAGCACTAAAAGCGCGGAAGTGCAACAACAGTGGATCTGCAGCAGGAGGACAGCGGCGCGGCTTGCGTCGTTTTTGAGGTAGTGGGGGCACGGCAGAGCAGTGGCGGCGGTTTGTCCCACTGGTTATGAGCGGCAAGGGAGAGGGATTGTGCACATGCGGCGGATAGCAGTTTCGAGCGCGTTTTATGCGCTCGTAATACCGCCGACTGGATTTTGATAGTAGACTAGGGATGGCAACGATATATCGATAAAGTTCTTATAACGAAAACGAAGGTAATAAAATATATCATTGGCCTTGTTAGATACTATCGAAAATTAATAAAATACTAGATTAAAGATTACGAAACCCCTTACCCTTACAGTGTGTCTGAAGAGAAATGAAAAATAGGATTATACAAAGCAATTTATAGACAGTTTTAGATCTTGTAAACAATAACTTGACATCACAAGTAATACTAGCTTATCCAGGCCAACTTCACAACATCTTTCGAACTAACATTGGATACATCAAACTATTCTACATTATACTTACTATTCTACAATTGAAGAATACTTCTGGTAATTTTACAATTCAAATATGTTTGCCTATACCTATAGAAATTTATTGTTCAAACAAGCTATAGACTATTACCACCTATTACAATGGTTATTCTCACTGAAAAAATCCAATTCAAGATTGGTTAGATTTTGACTACACTATCTATACGAAGATGTAAAAAATAGTGCGATAAAATTCTTTGAGTGATAGCTTTTTGAAAAAAATAATAGATGGGTTATACAGGGTGAGTCTTAAATAAGTGCAAATATTTTCAGGTAGAAACAAAGAAACATATTTTCTCTTTACCATTTTTCAAATAAGTCCAAAATAACCAGTTATTTTATTTTTAAAATTTCAAAAAAAAATAATTTTTTGCTGAAATTTTGAGAACCAATGGATCTTTTCTGGTTTATTTTTCTTTTAAATTTAATCTACTCTCTATGTTGAAATATTATCAAGAACTTATGCTTTTTAACTAAAAAATTTTCAAATCTTGAAAAATATTTCGCGAAAAAAACTCATAATCCTGTTTCTAGAGTCAAACTATACCACCCCTAAAAATATTTGCACTTATTTAAGACTCACCCCGTATAAAGTTTTTCGATTTGACGTTTTCGTAAAAAAGTTATTTGCTTGTAGAGGACATAAAGGGTGAGCCAAAATCACAATATCACTTTTTTCAAAAACGAAAAACTTTTTTCACATTAAAATGTCGAAGTAACGTGTGGACGCTTATCAAGTGGAGTTTTTGGGTAGAATAATTATTTTGGTTTATATATAGTTAGTGTTCAAACAGCCATGTGCTACTTTCGTCAATTTGAATATTTCACTATAAAATCGGATAGAAAGTTAAAATCAAGGTGCAAAAAAAAACAAGATTAAAAAAATCGTTTTTTTTTTATTTTAATCGGATTTACTTAAGTTTCATTGAGAACCTCACAATTAGTGGAATAAATTACTGGTTTTAAAAATTAATAGAATATCCTAGCAACAGCTTGCGGTAGTCAGCTGTATCCATAGAGAATGCCTAATATTTAGCTTATAAAACAATAAACTTTTGGTTTCTAACCACAATTTCTCTGACGGATGATAATCAAAGGCAAAAACAGGCCCAAGACACTCAATAGTAATTTTATGGAACTACAAATTTAGTTTCTTCCGCATCGCCAGACGGCGCAAAAGACATTAAAGTACAGGTTTCTAATTTATATATGAAGGTGACATGATAGCCTCTATATATTTACTACCATCTATGGTCTAGTTTTGGTGTAGTTGTCAAAATGTTGGTGATCCGTCAAGTTATTTTTAAATCATTTTTAAATAATTATTAATTCAGATATTCCTGATTTGCCGGAAAGTTCGGTGATTGGTTGGTTTTACAATCGATAATTTCGTGTTAGATACCAAACATTTTTATTTTTTAAGACATTTTAGACATCTTAGAAATAATACATTTATGAACAAACTAAAAACAGTTTAATCATAAATAAGTAAGTACATATCATGTACATATGTAGTTGGTTATATAGTATTTTTAGTAATAGTTAAGGGGGGTAGTAGTCTATACTATATTATAATTTATTTGTTAAATCAAAAAAATAGGCGGTATGTGCTCTATTGTTGGTGTTTAAAATGTATGTTTTCATAATTTTATTTTTAGTTTTGAATGTGTTACACTTTTAATGATCTAATAAAACATAAAATATAGTAAACAAGTCTATATTTATTATTTTATATTTTACAAGGAATAATTTTGCGCTTGAATAACGTTACCGTTTTAGTTAGCGTTAATAAAGAACGGAACGCTAAAATTATGTTATGCTAAAACTCTCCATTAGTTTCTTCCGGATCACCAGGTGGCTCTAAATGATGGACTTATTTGTTTTATATCAGTGTCCAATCTATCTCTAGTACGCGACATTAGTCTATGGGCCAAAATGACATTCCTCGCAAACTTTGAAGTATATATAATTATGGTATAATTAGTGGAAAAGTTAAAAGTTTGTTAATTTTTTCTATATTATACTAATTGAAAATTACTACCGAAACACTAATCTTGACGTTCCCAATGCTTACATTGAAATCAGAGGAACAAACTTGTACACTAATTCAAACCACTAATTGCGAGGTTCTGAATGAAGCTTTCAAGTCCTATCCTAAATTGCTATATCTTCGCAACGCTGCCCGATATCGATAATATTATCATATTAATATTTCTACGGCGGCGGCGTGTGTCGTTTTTGCACATCGGTCACTAATATATTTTATTCTGTAAACTTTGCCAATGCCCCTATTTCCGCAAAAAAAGTCACTCGCTTAGATAAAAGATTTTGTTTGAAAATAGTTATGTGTGTCTTAAGAATAAAATTAGTACCATCTAACAGGAGTGGATGGGGAAGTGGAAACCGGCCCGGGAAAAACAGGCAACCGGCCCAAATCCACAAAAACAAAATGACCATAACAAAGAAACATATTTTGTTTATTAATATATAATTAAGGGTGTTTTTCGCTCGTGCGAAAAAGCTCTTTTGCCTCCGGTTAAAAAAAAATAAAATTGTCTTGATCAAAAATTTCGTAAAGACCAATATTGGGTCGGACATCTGAATTTTTACTACAAAATGGTTCAGTCTTACAGGGTTCTACTGCTTTATTTCCATTATCGATAACGGTAATTTGACCATAAATAGGCTACGATTTTGAGAAAATTTAAGACTTCCTGATTCATACAGTTCAGCTGACCCAATCCTCTGTGAAATACATTACTTTTAGCTTTTCGGGTATATACTTTCTTACAAATTGTAGAAAGAAATTCTCTCTTTTCTGCTACAGCAGCAGCCTCGTGTACAAGTGTTTTTAACTGAATGAACAGCGGTCGCCATTAAAACTGCAGCATTTTTTAGGTTATTATATAGTTCTTATCACGAAAGTTTTCCTCTATACTTTTCTACATTTGGCATCTTGTATGATAATGCCATGACTCAAACGAAAAAAACCTAAGCATTACCTAGGCAGTGGATATAAATGTGTTTTGATGTAATACTATGTTACAGTCCCTAATAAGAATATTTGGATTTTCGAGACGTATTAATATTTTATTATCTAATCTAGTTGAAACCTTATTTAAATTTTCTCTGCTGTCTCAGTAACTTTAAGCAAATTCGTTTTAGCAACATTTTAAACAACAATTTAAACTTGGCTTTTAGTCCGTCCCCAATTCAAGCCTTTTCTCCGTCAACCGCAGAGTTCGCGTCAAATTCGTCTACCTTTTTACAAAGGGGACCTCGAAAAATATTGCACCGATGCCCCCAGTTGTCAATCTACGCTATCGTATTCTTAGTATACATTTAGATCGAGACTATTTAAATTTACCTAATGCTATTCATCCTTTTTTTTGCTGCCAGTTAATCATATTTATTAGTTATTAATAAAAGAATAGTGTTTAAAACTATACCTATATATAATATTTTCAGGGGTGGTATATTTCGACCCCAGGAACACGTCTATAAGTTTTTTTGCAAAAAAAGATGTTAAAAATCGAGCACTCTTAAATTTTCCTGTATATTTTAGAAAACTTTTTAGAACTTCTTGTTCATCGCAAATTTTCCCACTGTATAGTGTCTTAATCTCTGATATTACGGCACTAAAAGATATGCAAATACCGAAAAATTGAGGTAGCTCAATTTTTTTTAAAAATAAATCATTTTTTTTTTAATTTCCAAACTTTAATAACTCGATTGGACTTATTTGAAATTCGATAAAGAGAATATATATTATGTTTATTTTATTGAGATATACCAGCCCCGAAAATATTTGCACTTATAGACTCACTTTGTATAATAAAAATTTTCAAACCGAACAAACAACAGATGATTATTAAAATTATAAGTGTCCGAGAGAAAGACATTTTACAATAGTTATTTTACAAATTGGTGTTTATGTTTAAAAACAACTGACGATTATAATGATGCAAATTGATTAGTTAGTTATGGAATCACTAAGGATCTTACGTCACTTTAGTTAGAAGATTAACCATTTAATTTTTGCTAAACCAATTTTTTTTTGAGCTCTGATCGGAACCGGCCCACCAGCCCATCGGGAATTTTCCCGTTTTCCCTTATGGCCCCTGCCATCTAATGTTCAAAGTGCAAAGTACTTATTGCAGAACAAAATGTGTGCAGAAATTATGCAGTAGAAGTTTGAAAAAAAAACTAAAAGAAATTATAATAAATTAGACAAGGCAGAAATTAGCTGGATCAACATACAGCTGTTTCAAAAAAGATATAAAACAGCCTTGACACCAGCATATCTTTTGACGTTGATTATAGATACTCGGGGATAAAAATATAACATCAGAGGAAACTATTTCTGCACTAGAGTTCGCGAATGAAATGTATTCGAATACCGGATGATTTCTGTCACATCAAGATTTTAAAGCAAATCTCTGCCGTTTCGAAATCCAATGGATTCACACGAAACTTTACACGGTCTAACATTTTAATAGGCGGTAAGTAGAATATTATTAGTATATTATGTTATACATATTCAA